AGAGCTATTTCTGCTTACTGGGAATATAAAAGACACTATACGTGAACCTGTTATTCTTTCTTAAAGCCTATACTTGCGTACTTTTGTCATTACAGTAGTATTGTTGAAAGTAAAATCTTCCTTTCGTTTATTAATAAAATGTAAAGGAAAGCGAAATAAAGATAAAAAAAAATTGTTTTATCAAAAAAAACAAAAAAAAACAAGATTCAGTCTTAAAGACGTGAGTAACAAAACAAGGGGAGACCACTCATGATTATTAATAACAATATTCAGTCTTCTCATTTTCAACATTTAGCCAACGAAAGAGCATTGATTGTCCTCTTTTGTTTGTTTAAATCAAAAGAATAAAATGTGAAAGAAGTCGTCAAACTCATTATTATTTAATCGAGATTACCCAAGCCAAAAAAAAAAAACAAAAACACCAACAAACCAAAAACAAATCACTTTATTCATTTAAATTTAACGATTAACAATTTAAACCTTTGAGCCCTGATCACCACTTTACTCGTGGTAGAGAAAAATGACGTAATGCCCAGCCACCGTTTTTCTCAGTAGAAAAGGGGCGATAAACCGTAAAAATCAAATTAATCAATCAACATTACCCAGTAGACACGAAAATCTTGAGTGTACTTCTAGTATGTTATTATAATACAAACTACTTAAATTGAGTATTTTTTTTTACCTTTCATGTGAACTTATCAATTTAATTGCCATTCCTACAATCACCAGGTATAGATTGCCGCAAACATAAAATTTTCACCTGTACATCGTAGATGGAGAGAAATATCAAAACTAAGAAAGAAAAAAAAAGAAAGAAAGAAGGAAGGAAGGACGAGAGGAAGGAAGGAAGGAAGGAAGGAAAGTAAGAAAGAAGCAAAGAAAGCAGAAAAATAAAACTATCGAGTACAGAGAGACAATAACGTGATGAAGAAAACGAAAGAAAGGAAATCCATCAACAAAGGGCGAGAAAGAAAGAGATACAAAGAAAGAAGGAGTAAGGAGAGAGAGAAATAAAGAGATAGAGTGAAAGAAGGAGTAGACATAGAGAGAGAAAGAAAGGGATTTAGAAAAAGGAGTATTGAGATAGAGAGAAAAATAATAAACAAAGAAGGAGTAGGGAGAGAGAGATAAAGAGATACAAAGAAAGGAGTAGACATAGAGAGAGAAAGAAAGAGTTATAGTGAAAGAAGGAGTAAGGAGAGAGAGAGAAATATAGAAATACAAAGAAAGGAGGAGTAAAGAGAGAGAGAGAAATAAAGAGATACAAAGAAAGGAGGAGTAGGAGGAGAGAGAGAGAAAGTGATATAGAGAAAGAAGGTTTAGGGGAGAGAAAGAAGAAAGAGATATAAAGAAAGAAGAAGTATAAGGAGAGTGAAAGAAGTAGGAGCATAAGTTACAGATCACGACGAAAGTTTCTTATTCGAGCTGTGTGTGAATTGTCGGCTATTATGAAGGAAACCTCTTAAATCTAAGAGACCAAGTGTTTCTAACCACCTGGCCAAGGTATTGCGGTATTTATAGGTAATAACCGCTCGAATTTCTGTTATTAGCCATGGTAACGACACGTTTCGAATGATTTTTGACTTAACACAGACGCCTCGAGCAGAACATAAAACTAGAATAATTGATACTTATCATTTTTCTTTCTTTCCACTTGTTTCTAGAAACATGAAGTGAAATCATCTTATCAGACAGGTTTTCCAGCAGTGCTTCGTTTATTGATCGATATCTATTGATTTGGTCAGGATTACAAGGAATCTATTGATTTCATGCAAAAGATATGCGTCCATTTTAAATAAATTTGTTACCGTTCAACTCCCTTATATAGTTTGTTTCTGGAACTTTGGGATTATTTTCATATTTTACACAAAATAGCCCGAAAAGAATCAGCAATTTTGTTGCTTTCGTTTTAAAATATAGGCCGATAAGCCCCATCGCATTTTCTCTTTCACAATCTGTGTTCATAAGTATCTATCTATCTACACATCAGTCTATTCATATCTATCTATCTATCTATCTATCTATCTATCTATCTATCTATCTATCTATTCTATCTATCTATCTATTCATATCTATCTATCTATCTATCTATCTATCTATCTATCTATCTATCAGCCTATCCATACCTATCTATACATCAGCCTATTCATATCTATCTATCTATCTATCTATCTATCTATCTATCTATCTATCTATCTATCCGTTCATATCAATCTATCGCAGTCTTTTTCTTTCTTGCTATCTATCTATCTATCTATCTATCTATCTATCTATCTATCTATCTATCAGTCTATTCATATCTATCTATCTATCTATCTATCTATCTATCTATCTATCTATCTATCTATCTCAGTCTGTTCACATCTATCTAGATAGCTAGCTTGCTAGCTCTATACACCTTTTTCTTAATATTATTTGGCATTTCATTTTTCCACAAATGTCTCAGAGTAAAATTTTCATCTTGTTTTAATTCCAAAGTTTTGTCAGAAAACCTGTTGCCATTCTAGTCTCGTCGTGAAATCTAATAATAAAGAATTCTCTTTGCTACAGAAAATATTCCATTTGCTACACTCATCTTTGTTCCTTTCATCGTAAGCTATCGATAGATAGATTCCCCATCCAGCCTAAATATATATTTTGCATCAGAGAAACATTCAGTTCTCTTGTTAACCTTGTTTTACACATTCGAATAGTGAAAATAACATAAAACTTTTAAAGGTAGCATCAGGATGCGTTAAAATACCTAATGCAACACATGAGCATTCTTGGTAGCCAGATGAATCTATCAGCCGAAAACGTATGATATACAATAACACTGTTAAAGACATGACATCAAATACATTCTGGAACAATGTTCAAATTAATCTCAGATTTCGAGACAATGTTTAAAATGTCAGCGAGATTATTGGCTACAACTCGAGGGTAAAAAGATAAAGATACTCGCTAATATTTCGGCGAATAATAAAAATACTTCAGAAATTTAAAAGAAAATATGGTAGGTCAGAATGATTATCCCGAATAAAAAATAATCAGATGAGTTTTCTCGATTCTGTTTTCATTTATGTAACTTATCGACTGATAAACATTCATGCCTTCCTTAGATATTTTCCTTTTCGTTAGCATTTTGAAAATATCTTATTATTCCTATAGATTTACGTACAGTTTCATTCGCTATTCGTTAAACCTTACCGAATGCAGCAGATATTTGAGATAACCTCGAGAGTTTATCTGCTGAAACTTTGGTATGAAGATTACAAAGTGGAAGAAATTGGTGCTATGGCATCTCTGTTTAGCTTTAGCAAGGCCATCCCAGAATTCCAAGCATAAGATGAAGAGACTAGTGTAAATATATCATAGAACAGTGAAATTAATTAAAGCTATGATCGGAATTAATACGTGGAAAGCTGTAGAGTTTTCTCTTGAAACGATCAGATAAAATAACAAAGATTCGTTTTCGACGCTTTTGCAAAATAACATCAGAATGAACTTTACCAAAATAGCACATCTTGAGGACTTTCAAGAGCAGCAACAACTAAAATGGATAGCACATTTAACTCGAAAGAAAAATAAGGACGTAAGATCTACAGTACATAGAACAAAAAAAAACAATAATAATACCAGGACTTGAGGAACCTATGTTCCTGAAAATAGAAAGGTTTTATAACATTTAACCCGAATGCAGAACTGGCTGCACAGTCAATGAATATCGAATGTTTCCGTATTGGAGAATGTACTTCTCCCTCCTTCTCTTCCTGGCTTGCGAAAACGTGTCGGTGGGCAGCTGAGGACGTGGGCTAGCACAATCAAGGATGACGTAGCAGGACTATCAGGTCCACAAGAAGTTGATCTTCGACGATGGAATCGCGATTGGCTCGCCATTTCGTGTGACCTGGCACAGGTTCGGCGAGCGTGGGCAAGCGATGGTCCGTGATGCTGTACTTGCACGGGAGGAAGCCGGTTCAAACCGACCAGGGTGAAAACCGATACAAGTCAAGTATTGGAGAAAAGATTTACATTACCATTACTTATTTAATTTTAACTTTTGGCTTGAATTATAGTTTCAAGTATTAGTAAAACCTGGTTTGTAAAATAATCTTATGTGCCGTGTCCTTTCAGGACGTAGAAGATCATGGCTCTTCACATCCTCCCTATCCCTTGTTGCTCTCAATAAGTTTCGTCCCTCTGCCACCTCCCCCCAGACCATGTTCTGTCATCCACTTGCTTAAGCTCGCAAGGTATGTCATGCGTTGATTTGCCTTGTCTCTTCTTCCCTATATTCGACCTGTGAGTATCAGATTCTCCAGGCCCTCCTCTCTCATTACGTGTTCCAGAAATTTTCTCTGCCTCTTCCTGATGTTATGTATAAGCTTTCTCCTTGTTTGAATCCTCTCTAAAACTTCATTGTAGCTCACACGCTCGGTCTATGATATCCTCAGCATCCTCCTGTAGAACCATATCTCCGATGCCTCGAGTCTCTTCTTCATCTTTGAGGAGACCGTCGAACCAAAGATCAAATCTGATAATAGTATGATTCGTAACTGAGAAACAAAGACGAAATACACTTCTACGATTGGCTGCTTCCATCATTTGATATTATGATCTATTGGCTTCATAACAAGTCGAAAGATATAATAAGCCCTTGAATTTATGTAATGCTAAACAAGCAAGTTCACTTTAGTGAGTGGTTTCTTTAAGCTGATAGAGTAACCAAACATTAAGAAGAGTTTCTTATCGCGAAAGTCAATTTAAAACAGACGATTAATGCATGCGCAATATCAACAACGCTTTCATCAGAAACAGCAGCCAAAAACGTTAAGCAGAATTATCCGACATTGTAAAGACGAAAATATTGAGACAAAAAGACTTTAAAACAATCTAATATATTTTGGGGCAGTTGTAACAATTTAAGCCAATAAAATTAGAGTATTAATCTATTTGTAGCTTTTGATATTCTAGGACACATAATGAAAGGAAAAGGAATTGGAAAATATGTCACTCCCATAAAATGATGGAAACATCGAGTAACCTAACGAAAGAACTTATGTAAATGGTTGACAGAGTAGCGATATGGAGTGGATGTGAAAAGATAAACATTAAATCATTAACTAAATCTAAAATCCTGATACTATTGTCGTTACCCTAACCTTGGCAGGGGTGGCTTCCGGTTGACATACTTTGCCGAGGCGCAACATGTTGTATGGTCGTTACGATTTTGAATTCAGAGATATTTTTCTCCTAGAATCGTTATGTAAAGCCCACAGGTTTTCCTTGCTATTTAATCCATAACTAGGGTGAAAGACATGTCTAACTTTTGCATGAGAAGTTACGCGTAAATAAATTCAATGAACTCGACTGGAATTCGAACTCTACACTCCAATATCTCATTTTGTGTCGCTTTTCATTAAACAATGCAATGATATAGAAATAATAATAATAATAATAATAATAAATAAATAAATAAATTCAACAAGTCCAAAATGGAATTTGAAGTGGGTGAAGAAATGCAAATAAAGCAAGCTACATCGACTACAACTGCAAAATACTTTTAAAAAAGAAAGCAAAGGCAAATGCAAGCGAACAGATACAGAAACGATGGCAAGATCAATCGCTTCAGAATCAATACTTTGCCCGTAACAAGCCAGCAGATGTAAGCAAAGCCCGTACCCATCATTGGCAACGAAGTGCAGGGTTAAAAGCTGAAAACGAAGGTTTTATTCTTGCTGCATAGGACCAATGATTGCTAACTAGAAATTACAAAACACACATACTGAAAAATTGTGTTAGGCCAAAATGCAGATTCTGTGATAAATATCCAGAAACATTTGACCATCTTTGCTCAGGCTACCACGGTATTGGCACCCACTGAATATAATACCCGGCATAACAATATGTAGACTGGAAATTTTGCAACTTCTATTATTATTATTATTATTATTATTATTATTATTATAAAACTAAAAAGGAAACAAAGTGAATATGAATTGAAATGAAAGCATTTCTTATTATCAGACGTTTGAGAACGTCTACAGCGCCCTCTTTTTGGAAAATTAAGAACTGAAACTTTTGTTTACACCTCGTATATAATTTGAGAAGAAAGCAATTGCATATGAAATTACTTAGATTAATTGACTGACTTTGAATTAAGTAAATTTTCTATAGAAAGATAATTGTTTCTTCGTTTTTAGTTGATGGCAGATTAAATAAATGGCGTCCATCTTAGGAAATAATAAAGATAACACAAAAATACTTTCTCAAACAGGCACGCTGATGATTTCCGATTTTGTAAATTGCAAGAACGTAGAAAAATATTAAAAAAAAAGAATTTTTGCTTCATCATTAATTAATTGATAAATAGGCAAACACCTTATCTGGAATTTTAAGATTATATTT